CTAGGGCCTTGTTACTTGTATCCCTTTATGACTCATGAGCCCAAGTTCGAGTATCGGGGCTGGATTAAACTCATTTGACTTAACCCAGCTACCAATGTTCCGTTTACATGTAGATACCAGGAACCCAGTTATGTGATATTTATGTTTGATGCCTAGCCGTTCTATGATCTTAAACTAATGTGATTGTTTGTTCAAAGTTGGAGCAGGATAACCTTCTCGCCTCCCGCCTCTGGTGTGTTAAACAGTGTGGCAAAGCCTAACCTTTCAAACTTTTTAGAATCCATGGGTGAAGGACCTAGAAGCAAAAGGTCGACGTCGCTAAAGGGACCGACCACATGATGGCCAAGACAAAGGACTAACGCTCGGGACTGAAACGAAAGCTTGCTTATGCTTTCTGCCCGTCGCGCCCAAATTGCAGGTTCGGCCTCCGTCCAGCCACTGTATCGAAAGTTGTAAGATATGTGTCACAACTGAACTTATACATCTTGCTGTAGATCTCTACCCAATACGAAATGTAGTCGTCAGAGTCGTAGACCCCGATATCTGCAAAATGAACTGGGGCCGTCAAGGTAAGACTGGCAAACTTCACTTTCCCGAATTCATCCTGACCTTCCAGGTCAACTTTCCAGTCGATAACTCTTAACAGGCCAGTCATCCGATGGAAACCAGCCGCGTCTCACCGAAGCCCAAGAAAACGTGGGAGCCCGGTATTCCACCAGTTTGGTCCAATCGTGTGATGAGCCAGCGACCAAGCCAAACAGTGGTGTGCGTAATCTCTTCGGGCGGCTAGTCGCTTGCTCCGGCGGGGGGGCGGATGAGCGATGTGATTTGTGCCGATGTGGGTAATGTCATCGACAGTCCGTGAGATGAAGTCATCTTGAAAATAGACTAACAATGAAGTCCAGGTACTGATCTGGATGAACGGTGCTTACATCCAAGCTGGGCAATGCTATTGATGTTTACATGTACAGATGCAGCAGGCTCCTTTGACGATGCTATCATCAGGCACACCCTTGTTGAAAATGAACTTACCTCTCTTTTCAGCTGCACCAACACGTGCACTCTGCACCCAGCCGTGAAATGCCGTATAGCTGTTATGCACGTGAGAGGGCAAGGAAGGTTATTCCATTTTGGGCGACGTGAGTACAGCCAATCATTGTTGCCCACTGAAACGAACTTGAACTTTGCATCTCTAAACATTCGTAGCTGACGCCCTGCGACGAGAAGAACGTGACCACTGTGGTGGCAACCATTTCAGATCACGGCCCGTCCTGCCTCCATCATCAATGCCAGTCGCACTACCCCCTTTTCCTTCTTCCATCGCTCTGGTAAACTCGTGGGAGTGCTTCTTGCCCGAATTCTTTGAGAGCTGCTTCCAGATCTTCCCCCATGCTGTCCCCGGTACTACGTTGGCAGTCTCTGTCGGTCGTCGATGTTCAAGATGGGGAGGCTCCTTGCTTCGGAGCGAGAGTGTAATAGTCTGGTAGATCTTGTGGAGTGCCCACATCAAGAGGCATAGACCAAGCGTGCCGAGAGTGGAGAGACCTTGAGGGAACAGTTAGTGGGATGAGCACGTCAATACAAGACCACAAGGGGGTTGGAAGAACGTACCAAAGACCTCTGCCAGAGCAGGAGCGGACCACGATTCAGGCAGCCCATCGACTCTCATGGCAAGTAAGCCGCAGACAAATGCCAACGGCGCCTATGGGTGGAAAGAAGTGTGTAAGCTATCCGTATAGCAAGTAGCTGGAAGGCCGGTATAGGTTCCAGAACAACAGTAATGGTTGAACTCACAAACAGAACCGTAACGGTCGTAAAGATGAAAAGCAAGGTGGTCTGCTCGCTCATAGACAACGCATCTTCTATCGTTGCTTCTCGTTGGCGGAGATCAAGCAGCGTAGTCACCATGGACCGCACTCGATCAACATCATTCTCGAGCCGCAGAAAGGCCTTGAGACTGGACACTGCAAACGGATCGCCCTTTGGCTTCCAAGGCTCCCTGCTGCTAGCACCGCGGAACTGGTCACCGATGGCTGATTGGTCTTTCAGGATCCGGAGGATGATGCCCATTTCTGCGATTGTGTCGTTGGTTTGCATCAGAATCTCGGTTTCCTTCTTTACGTCTCGGTAGAAGGCACCTGGGTCTCCACTAAGCGAACCAAGACCTCCCTTGAGGTGGTGAAATCGGTCGGTCACCTTGGTATACTAAGCACGTGAGCGAGGGGTGGTCAGTAAACATTGCATCTGGCAGGAAACAGGGGCACTGGATGAGCTCACAGTCTCTGCGATGGAGTTTGAGTAGGCCTTGATGTAGGAAACTTCGAGATTGTGGCAGTCGTCATTGTTCACACCCGGCGACATAAACCTCGCAAAAGCACGGGCTTCAAACGAGAGGCATCCATTGAATATGGCCTTGACAAGCCCGTTGATCTTGAACTTGTCCAAACTTTCATGGATGTCTTTGTTGTTGCTCACGCTGCTGAAAAGATGATTGTGGAGCGTTGCCTCGTTGGCTTTATCCCACCGTTCAGAGTAGAGAGTGATGACGGTGCCTGAGAGGGCCATGTGGTTAGAGCGAATGATAGCCAGGCGAAGGGTTACCTGACATTGTGAACTCACCTGAACCCAGCCTGAACAACCAGAAATATGGCACGGTGATGATATTGTCTGTGTCTTGAGTGCTTATTCCAGCAGCGGCATCTTCCTTCCCGGCTTGGACTGGTCGAATGGTTGGGGGGTCATCCGGCGATGTCATAATTGCGGATATCTTTTGATCGGAACCGCTACCTCCTCCATCTTGAACACGCAGCTGCTGTACGAGACTCTCGTCCCTATCGCCTTTGAACTTAACAGCACGCCTCCTCTCAGACGATGTCTGGACGATCTCGACGTTCTTCCTCTTCAGCCGCCTCATGTATCTTGTCAAAACTTGATCCTCATCAAGAGCCTTGATTGTCTGAGGGTCCAGAAATTCGTGATATGCCTGGTCAAGACTTCGAGGGAGTGGGTGATCGAGAAAGCTGACCAACTGTAGCATACGGGTCAAGTGTGCCGCGGAAACGGGGTCAGTTGTGCCCCATGTCGTCGCCGCAAAGCGGCCGGCTTCGAGAGATTTGTCGTGATGCTTTCGAGCCTCTTCTATATATTTTCTTTTGTCCACGTCGATGATTGGAAGCTGTGGTATGTGACGATCAGCACAAGGTGAACGCCCTAGCTGAACCGGGTCTGCTTGCAGGCCTGGACTGGGGTTGTAAACGCACCACCATCGCACACATCTCCTCGTCCCCCATTTGCGTGTCCGATTTGCCTTCACGCTACGAAGGGGCGGTTAGCGGATGATCTTGCAGTAGAAAAATGATGTACCCTGACCCAAAGCCCTACTTACGATAAAGTGTCGCTCTCTCACCGGTCCTTCGGCATCAACCGTGTTGAATATGCGACTGATGAAGTTCCGCATGGCGCGACTCTTTTCGGGTGAATATCCACCAGCAGCACAGATGTTGGTCGCGAGGTCTTTGGCCCATCCTTCAGTTGCACAAGACAGATGAATCCACTTGGGCCGCGCTGCTCGCCGGGATGTCGCATCTTCGCTGTCGTTATAGACCAAGTCCCAGATGCTCGACGAACTCCACTTACACTCGCTGGTCGGCTCCCAAACGCTGCCTCTGAACGCCTCGGCAAGTGTCTTTTGCAAACCAGTTGGAGGAGGGACGGCCTCGGCTGTGTTTGAAACGAAGGGGTGGATCTTTAGGCTGGAATCATACTTTGTGCTTCCTAGCTTCTGATCCAGCACCTTGGGTGGGTTGTCAAAGAGCTTGATGACTTGCGGCGACGTTGCGTAAAAGCTCGGGAGATGGCCACGGTCGTCGATAATCTCGGTGCTCGCCCCTCTCCTGAGCAATAGCTTGACACAAGCGACGTTGTCGTGAATAGGCAAGGTGCAGTGGAGTTACTCTGCGGAGATTCAGGGCGTTCATGTCGATATCTCTGTGGTTCAGGAGAACCTCCAGATCGTCGCTCTTCCCGCGCTGTACTGCAAGATGCAGCACCGTTCTCCCTTGTTCGTCTCGAGAGTTAACGTCCGCGCCTGTCTTGAGAATTTCTCCCACTTCGGTCATGTCTCCTTTCTGGAAGGCTCCATGCAGCAATGCTGCGGCTTTGGTTTTACGGGCCTCTTCATTCCTCGCCTCTCCTATGCCATATGTTGAGTCCATGTTGAGGGTTACTGGTGTCTGCGTTGGTCTCGAGGGTGCCAAGCGTAGGCTCCAGACCATAGCGCACCTTCGACATTTTATCGGCCGCAGAGACTCCCTGAACAACAAAAACAAATCAGTGGCTGGTTAGAAACGGCAGTTCAGCAAGCCACTTGCACCGCACTGCAGCCTCTAGCACGCTGATTTGGAACATGATCGTCCTGATATCCGAATTAAATGGCTGCAGTTGTTCCGCTTTTCAGAAAGGAGCGTCAGCGGCTGTGACGACTGCAAAAGCGATTGGATCCAGGCTGTGAGACCATGTAATCGCCAAATCAGTGGCTGGTTAGAAACGGCAGTTCAGCAAGCCACTTGCACCGCTCTGCAGCCTCTAGCACGCTGATTTGGAACATGATCGTCCTGATATCCGAATTAAATGGCTGCAGTTGTTCCGCTTTTCAGAAAGGAGCGTCAACGGCTGAGACGACTGCAAAAGCGATTGGATCCAGGCTGTGCGACCATGTAATCGCCAATAGGTTGCAGATATGACAAGTGCCGCAGTCCGTTAATTCTTGAGGAATGACAAACCGGAAAACAATCGAGAATCACAGATACTTGAGCAAAAGCCTCGGAATAAAAGTGGGAATAGGTGGTAAAAAGTTGTTCAAGCGTCCATCCCTATAAAATGCAGAGAGGAGCTAACCCAGAAAAAGGATGGGAAGTAAAAAGATGTCAAAGAGGCAAAAACATTTCTTCCAAAATGGAAGAAAAGATAGCTGAAAATCACAAAGTCACAAACTGAATGAATGCCCCCACGCGGGATTGAACCGCGGACCTCATCATGTCGCAAATTCCACTGCTGGATACGAGTGATGCGCTCTACCACTGAGCTATACGGGCTGTTTTCAGATACTGAACGCACAGACTCAAACGTTGCATCCAAGTTCGCATTACTGCACACCATTGCCCCGCACCGTCTTTCGGTCTGTTTGTTTGGCGGACAACCGCCCATCTCGTGCGGCACAGCAGGAATACGCGCAGCATTGTAAACGCTCGTGATATCAAACTCTCAACATCTTCCGGCATCTGGATTATCTCCCAAATTTTCTTCCCGATTCCTCATCTCAATTCAAACCGCATCCCAATATGACCACCATCCCTCTCCACCGCATCCCCCTCGACAACACCCGCCACACCTGGCCCCCCTCCATCCCCCTCGCCGACCTAGGCACCCTCTCCATCTTCCCAACCGAGATCCTCACCGACATCCTCCAACACCTCGACCTCCCCACCCTCACTTCCTTCCGCACCATCAACCGCCGCTTTATGACGCTAATCGACATCATCCCCTCCTACAATTACATCTTCCACACCTTCCCCGCCGTCCTCCGCGCTGTGATCGTCTCTCAGGCATCCTCCCCTCCCTATTTCACCTCTTGCCTTGCCCTCTCTTCCCGCCTCCGTCTTTGCCGGCAAAAGCTATCCTCAGGAAAACCAATCCTCTGCGAATTCTTCAACGACGCAGGAAAACCAGCCCAGCGAGGCGGCATAACCTGCGACCACCCAGCCGGGTTTCTGTCCCTCCAAACCGGCGCTTTTCTCTGTAAATGCTGCTACATCTCCGAGTTCGAAGTAACCACCCCCCTCCTCATCGAGCAGCATCTCTCCCGGCGCAATCTCACCCCGCAACAAACTCAAGATGTCTTGGCGAGTTTACCGCAATCCCTCAGTCTCCCCAAAGACTGGTTTCGCCCCTCCTCCCCCATGGGCCAGGAGCAACACCCTCACCACCGCACCGACGCAGAAGGCCACTCCCTCCCCTTAGTAGGTGGGTACTGGCAGCCCAGCACCCGCCAAGTAATCTACCCAGTGTCCGCAGTCCATGGGAGGTGGCAAACAGACAACTGCCGGTGCATCGACAAGTCCGTGCTAGCCGGAATCCGCGGTGCCGAAATGGCCATTATCGGCCTTGGTCCGGACGGGGGGTTGCCGGAAGGAATTGACGATGAAAGTTGCCGGTGACGATTATGGAGCAGGCGAGGACGGGGAGGTAGGCCACAACACCCGCCCTACCGCCCAGCACTGAGGGTGTGGTTGCGCCGAGCATTGCAGGAACTAGCCAACATGCGCTTAGAAGACTGGGTCAAGACCGGGCTCTTCTTGGTTGTGTCGGTTATGAGTGTGGAGGTGTTTGGATGGGTGAGCACCGTGGGGGAGTATCTACTCGGCAGCAAGGGGGATGGATGAGTATTACATCAGCTTTAGATGGCTTCTGATAATCGGGGGATGACACTAGCATTTTTTACCCGAAATGCACTCAGATAGATTCTCGCTTACTCCCTTCGTGATCGTCTCCTTTTGTAGAGCTAACAAGTGCCGATCTCTGAGCTAAGCTGACCCGCTGCGATAGCGTCACATGCGAGTTGCATAGGTACAGAGCTCTTGTTTGTCTGATTAGAGGGTATAAGCCTTGTGAGTGGAACCTAACGCAGTATGGTAGTATTATCGTATTCCTACCAGGAGATGAAGGTTTAAAACCAAATTGTTGTCTTTATGTTGAGTTGGCTGCGGGTCAAACTGGCACGCAGTCTGTACTTTAGTTCGCTTACGCGTTAAAATAGTTGTAGAGGGACCGCTTATCCCATTGGGATGGAGGCAAGGCCTCCCACGGTGTAAGAACAATAATAAATTGTTGTCTTTTCTTTGTCAACTCTATGGTGCGTCTGAGCATCAAAATTTAGACGATGGCTTCCATCATCACTCTCCCATTCAGCTACTCCGTCGCCATCCAAGCCACCGCATTCGCCCTCATAGCCATCTGCATCTACCGCCGATACCTTTACCCCCTGAAAGCCATCCCCGGCCCACCTCTAGCCTCCGTATCACGGCTATGGCACCTCCGCCACATCCTCAAAGGGGACCAAAACCTCCAGCTCATAGCCCTCCACGATAAACATGGCAAGTCTACCCCCCCTAGGTATCCCCTGTGCCGTTACTAACGCGAAAAGCAAAACAGGCCACTTCATCCGCCTAGCCCACAACGAGGTCTCCGTCTCCCATCCAGACGCCATCAAAAAGATACTGCTGCAACCCCTCCACAAAGCTTCCTGGTACAAATTGACGGCCATTCCAGACTACCGCTTCCAGACCCCCATGTCCACCACCGATCCGCACAGGAAAAAAGAAAGATCCCGTCCCTTTGCCGCGGGCTATGGCCTGTCCAACGTCCTCCGTGCTGAACCTCAAATCGACTCGGTCTTCTCCCTTTTCTTGTCCCGGTTAGACGAATTCTCCTCAACGAAAACCCCTGTGCATCTGGACGACTACTTCTCTTTTGCCGCATTCGATGTAGTCGGCGAGATCTTGTTCTCGTCGACCTTTGGGTTTTTGGAACAAAACAAAGACGTGGGCAACGCTATTGCAAACTCGCTGTCACTCAATGCCTACGCCGCAGTCATGGGTTTCTTTTACTGGGTCCATTTCGCACTGTTAGGAAATCCGTTTGTGACATGGCTCAACATTCTTCCGTACGGGCACTTGTTCACCACGACCATCAATGCATTGACGAAGCGCTTTGAAGAAAAGAGATCAGATAGTCGCTTCGATAGCGCAGAGCACTGGTTCCAGGCCATGGAGAAGAGCAAAGGAAAAGTGAAATGGAGAGACGTCCAAGCGGCTGCCACGGGTGCGGTTGGCGCTGCGAGCGATACGATATCCTGTGCTATGCAGTCATTTGTGTATCACATGATTCGGCAACCGGCACAAGTTTCATGGCAGAGGGTTCGGGAGGAAATTGAAGAAGCGCAGAGGGAAGAAGGGCGATGCAAGAACAAGGTTGTCTCATTCGCGGATGCGCAGAAGTTGGTGTATTTGCAAGCTTGTCTCAAGGAGGCACTGCGGATCTTTGCACCGGTGCCCATGACACTGCCTCGTGTTGCGGGTAAAGGTGGGGTCACCATTGGGGACAAGCACTTCCCCGAGGGAACGATATTGAGTGTAAATCCTTGGGTGATGCATCTTTCCAAGGAGATTTGGGGGGAAGATGCGAGGGAGTTTAGGCCGGAGAGGTGGTTGTGGGAGAAGGCGGCGACGTTGGAGAGGTGGTTCATGCCTGTGAGTTTTCCGTAGCAAGATAGTGATGAGAGAAGAGAAGCTGACAGAGACATGACAGTGGGGGCAAGGGTATAATTCCTGTCCAGGTCAGCATATTGCACGTATGGAAATGAGTAAGTTGGCGGCAACATTGGTCAGGGACTATGATATTCGCCAGGTGGATCCGAGAAAAGACTGGGAGTGGAGGGCTTATTTCACCGTGGTGCCTCACTCCTGGCCGTGTTATATCAAAGCAAGGGATACGGATAGCAGGTAAGGTGGTGTCGTTTGGATGAGATATCTCTGTAGAGCAAATCGTGGACCAAGGTGGTGGGAGCCATGACATTCTGACATGTAGGAGCTGTCTTGGGCAACTCGAGCATTTCTCTGTCACGCCGTGTCAGCAGCGAAGTGGTTCAAATGATTGATTCGATGAACTTATTGGTTACGTCACATGTTTCTCGCATGCAGGCTGTTCAGTCAATGATCCGTGAACCCGATTGGATGGAATTCAGCAGCTGGATCACGAATGTCTTGGATGGTGTGGGATAAAGATTCCTTTACCCGGACGGAGGTTGGCGGAGATGGAGAGTTTGATGCTTCAAGGTTGTAGAGGGCTCAGATTGGAAAGTCGGAAGTTCGAATGGGTGCCAAGTGTGCTTAAATGGGTCCCATGGGAACATCACGGTAAGGTAACGGTAGTGGTAGGACAAGGTGAGGTCAATATGGGATTGCAACGTTTGACTCAAATGCGGGGAACGACAATGAATTGGGTAATGGGACAACAACATTCCAAAGTGGGATTGTCGGATGCATGCATTTCGGGATGGGAATGCAAGGGGCGGGGTGAAATTGGAAGTGGGATTTACAAATAAAATAGAGCAAGCAGTCCGGGACTTCGTGAAAGTCTCTTCTTGTTCCATTCTTCCAGGCTGTCAATGACGCGATGCATGTGGAGAGGAAACTCACCTTGACAGCTGCTCTGTCACTTGTCGGCGTGGTAAAGGCGGCTGCCACACCTTTGGTTTCATCATTCGGGCAAACAGCTGTCATTCCTTCCTGGGACCTTCAATCATCTGCCAAAGTTGGAAACAACCTCGAGTCTCTGTCGAAAACCGGAGTGGACACGTCGTCATGGTATCACGTCGGGAAGTCGAAATGCACCCTCATGGGCTGCTTGGTCGAGACTGGAGTCTACAACGAAACTGATCTGTTTTACTCCGAGAATCTCCAAAATGTTGATGAAACACAGTTTTCGGTGCCGTGGACATACCGAAATGAATTCACGCTGGAACCAGCTCCCGGTGAGCATTTTCATCTGCAGACACACGGCATCTCCTCCCGCGCCGATATCTTCCTCAACGGGAAGCAGGTTGTCAACAAGTCGGTGCAGGCGGGTTCCTACGCCGGGAAAAGCTACAAAATTACAAACCTTGTCGGGGATTCCAATGCGCTGGTGATTCAGGTGCAACCTACCAATTACTACTATGACTTTGCACTTGGATGGGTGGATTGGAATCCATGGCCGGCAGACAACGGAACCGGAGTTTGGAGAGACGTTGAGATCAAGCAGACCGGTGCCGTGGCCCTGGGACCTTTGCGCATCGTTACCAAGATAGGCTCTACATATGACAAACTCAGTGATCCTGCGACGGTAACACTCAAGGTAATGGCACGGAACTTTGAGAACAGGACGGTTACCATCACTGCTGCCGGCACGATAGCACCCTTATCCGAGGCCGACATCCCACGGATTACTTTCAACAGAACCATCACTCTCCCACCTTTCTCAGTCTATAACGTCGTGC